AAAGGACCAATGGTGGACCACAACAGTTCGTTTTGATAACATACAAACGCGGAGGTATAATAACTTCTCATCAGCCTATAGGTATTTGGACTCCTACGAAAACTTCTGAATCCATGTGCAGCGTTTCTGTCATTAATCCGGTTCCCTGACAATCACAGCATGAAAAACCAAATTTACGTGAGCGTAATGACTGCGTAAAGTCAGGGTAAGGTGGAACTTTATACCGCTTTACGCCCCCTTTACTCTACGTAAAAGTCAGCTTTACAACACCTTTACGCGTACATATAAAGCTGGCGTAATGAAACAGAAACTTTATGCAACACCTTTAAGTTTTGCGTAAAGGTGGTGTAAATCCTATTTTAAGCTTATGTAAAGCTAAAATTAAACTCTTTTACGCTGAATATAAATGTACATTAAACACTCTGGAAACGTTTAAAGTGATGGTAAATATATTGGTAATCGGGACATTTTACTTCCCAAACCTTTCAAGTTGGCTGCGATCTAGTTAGTTCTCAGCGAATTCCAACAACCGATTGAGATCACTACTAATCGCATGGCACAGTCTCCCATGCGGCATTAGTCGCAAACATCTCGTTCCGCCACGCAGGTGCTCGATGGCTTAGCATTGCCAATGCGGTCTCGCTACCGATCATGATCCTTAGGGTCTGACATGTACAAGAGACTAGGTAGGCACCCACATTAACCACCAGCTCCACCACGCAGGAGCTCGATGGCTTAGCAATGCCAAAGCGGTCTCACTACCGATCATGATCCATGGGGTCTGACATGTACAAGAGACGAGGTAGGCACCCACTTTAATCATCAGCTCCACGTTAAACATATGGTAGCTGTTGAGAACTGTAAACAGTTCTCCCATGGGATGTGTATAGAGATAAGATCATTTGTAACCTGTGTGTCCAAAAATTTGTAAACAACACTAATGACAGCACTAATTAAAGCACACGTACGATCCTCTGGTACGGCCAATATCGTACGCATGCGCACAATCATATCATCCGGGAAGTGGCAGTCATGGACAACTGTTTCGCCCTTGTTGTGGCTCATTAGCATGGCATAACAAGTAGGGTCTATATTTGCATATGCAAGCTTTTAAACGAATCAGTTGCAGAGTCTTCATCAAGTTTTAATTTAGTGATGGAATTAAAATCTATTGACATACAATAAGACTATATTTACATACCGACCTTTAATATGCCTTTACGCGGGTAGTATAAAGTTCATCTTTCTCAAGTTCTTTCTCAAGGCACGCCAAAAGAGCCCTTTAAGCGGCGATGTAAGCAAGCGTACAGCCGATTCAACACCTTTACGCGAGCTTTAAATCAACATAACTTACCGACCGTGTCAAATGATCTTTAATCACCTTTAAACGACTTTAAATACTAGCATAAAGTTGGTCAATTACTGGAAAGTATCGATGCCGTTTCACTCTCGTCAAGTAAACTTCGCGATTATGTGACAAAAGATTGTACACTCGCGTGAAGCCGCCATGTTTATTTACATATTTGATGCCATTTCAAAGCTCGCGCCATTTTCGTACCCATTCTTCGTCCGGCAAAAGAACCCTATTGAGCCACCTTAACTTAAGATTAATCAATGAAATTTTGTCGTAGGAAAATTCTGCGCGTCGACAATAGCTATATCTAGTTATGGTTTTGTAACTCTTTAGAAATTAGAAGCTTATTGTGACATATAGCTCTCTGTTTTCATGATAGTGGAAATGATTTGAAAATAAAACTAAACTGATGATTTTTTTCCTCCTGTTGCTTGTAATTCAATATCATATAAAATTATTATTTCGTAACGTAACATTGTTATTATCAGTACATTAACGCTTACTAATGCAGTAACTTGTTACAATCAAACCTCGATTATCCTCGATTATTCAACTTACGATGAAAAGTATCTATCTTTTATATAATATGGGTCTCAAAGAAGAGGTTAATGTACATAAGGCACATAAAACATTGCTGCCAATAGAATAAAGGGAAAAAAAATGAAAAGAGCGAACTGGATTGAAATAAGCGAATGGACAAAAACAACGCTAATCGATGTCGTCACTTGATGAATTGTAAAAACATGTCTACGAAAGGACCAATGGTGGACCACAACAGTTCGTTTTGATAACATACAAACGCGGAGGTATAATAACTTCTCATCAGCCTATAGGTATTTGGACTCCTACGAAAACTCCTGAATCCATATGCAGCGTTTCTGTCATTAATCCGGTTCCCTGACAATCACAGCATGAAAAACCAAATTTACGTGAGCGTAATGACTGCGTAAAGTCAGGGTAAGGTGAAACTTTACACAACTTTACGCCCCCTTTACTCTACGTAAAGGTCAGCTTTACAACACCTTTACGCGTAGATATAAAGCCTAACATAAAGTTGGTCATAGAACTTTAAGCAAATTTACACCATATTTACGTTTTCGTAAAGGTGCGTTTTCATGCTGTGAATATTTGTAATTCCCTTTGGTTCCGTTCCAAGACGGTTCTTATCCCCTTGGAAATCCTAAAAGTAAAAGAAAGAAAAATTCAAACAAGCTGTGACAAGGCTTAATAAGTTAAGTCTATGCGTTAGATAAAGGTAGAGAGAAAGTTCCTTATTTATTTCCTTTTACTCAATGAACCTCATTTTGCTCTACTCATCATACCTCTTTGTTTTCAGTAAGTTCATTCTCGAGGAACGCCAAAAGATCTGCAAATGAAGGACGTTTCTCCGGATGTAGATTCCAGCAAGACTTCATCAAATCGTAACTGGGAACCGAAAAAAAAAAAGAATAAGTCTAGTCACCTAGCTCTTGGGGCCGAACCATTATGACAGAATTATTTTTATTGTGTCAATGACTACTTGCATTTCACTCGGGCATTCTTCCGGCTTTGGTAATCTTTTTCCTTTCCACAAAAAGCTCATAATACCACCGCTTGTTAGACCGATATATGGCCTTTTACCTTGAAAATTGAAAAACAAACTAATTCGTTACTGCATGATAAACTTCTTCATCTCAGAAATCAAGATACTTTGCCATACGATTAACGAAGCACTAATGACAAGAATGACTCAGTAGTTATTCGATTCAAGTCACATCTTTACCTCTAGATTCCATCTCCCATAATAGTATCCCAAACGACCACCTGTCAGCAAGAGAAGGAAAATTTTCCGTCTAAAATTTAATTTTGATCTTTAAAGTCTCTCAAGGCGATGGTAACAATTAGATAAGTTTGCAGTACCCTTTCTTTTTCTCCATTCTAAGGATGCATGGAGTTAAGTTACTGCAGCTCTCTATAGTTTTTTACAGTCTACCACATAACTAAAACATTATCTTGGTCGTAATCGGTCAACCACAAATGCTTAAACTGGCTATACCTGCAGAAGATTTAGAATGCAACACACGATTTCGGTAGTCTAGACTCTCGAAATCACACATGCTGATCGCTAGATGCAATGAGAACTTTGAACCCGATTTTATTATGGAAAACGACCGATTGGAAGAAGAGGTATTAGCATTTTCAAATGGTTTAGGAAGGTCTCAATTAAATGAATTATGCATGAACACCAAGGATCTACATGGATCTACATGCATATAAAGGTGATATTACGGAAAGTGATTAAGATGAAAAAGAAGTGAATCAACTCCGCTCACACTTCACAAGTAACGGTCATCCTTGGTTTGAAAGCTTTTTCAATTTAATTTGTCTAAGGTTCACGCAGGACAATGAATTTTAAAGTATGAATTTTAAGTTATGAATTTTAAGTTATGCCAATTAATAACAAAATGCACTAGCGTTCATGCGATTTCTTTCACTAATAACGTACACGTCTGTCTTTGTATTGAATACGAGATCCTCCATAGACTCAAGAGCCATCCAACGAACTGGTAACAATTCCTGTTGGGAAGTGGAATTGGCACATTTGAAATTAAATGAGCAAGGTGCACTTTAGCTAGGGAAACTAAACTGGCACTTCAGTTAAGATTACCACTTAGTAAACACTCCTAGTTACAGATTGTGTCGAAATTGATCGAAACGCAATGAAAACACTGTGTGAAGGGAGGAGGGGAAAATAATTTAGTCAATAAAGTGAAACTTCTTTGACGTTTTGCAACCCCTCCTTTCTCGTTTTCTCAACAAAAAGCGAAATAGCCATACCCCTCGAAGAGTTTCATATTCCCCACTTTCGTACACATCACGCGACAAGCCGAAGTCAGAAATCATGGCAATATTCCTCTCGCCAAGTAACACATTTCTTGCAGCAAGGTCGCGATGAACACACTACGAGATAAGTTAAGAAATGTAATGGAATGATACTGACATTATGTTAGTAGGCCCGGCGAGTGTAAGTGATAGTATTGTTTATTTCAGTCTTTACCAGAACTACCTTTTTGCTGGCGAGGTGAGACATTCCATTGGCCACATCCCTTGCGATCCTTACTTTGTCCACACGTGTGAATCCAACCTGTCTTTCCACATCATCTTCCAAGGGATTTTCTCTGTTCCTCAGTTGGTTCAACAAGCAGCCATTTGGAGCAAGACGAACAATCATCAAAATTGATCCTAGGTACAGTAAAAACCCATATATAAGAACCTAAAAGTTAAGAACCTGTTAGGCTTAAATTTTTCAGCAAAGTCCCCTTTACTTAAGAACCATTACAGGTTGAAATTTCAGAACAAGTTCTTATTTTTTAGAATAAAGGGTGTTGTCAAATATATTACACTAGACTACATGCGATACAAAAAGGATGACAAAAACTTGCCAGAGCATTGACGGTGCTATGTGATCACAGTATTGCATCATCAGTACATCCAGAGTTGTACAACATATCCAACTGTGTGTATAACTTAGCTTTTTAAAGCAGGGCACTTTGAGGCTGGTATACAATCTGTGTTACACTTACACCCACAAACAGAATTTTCTTATTTATTAAACAAAAGATGAGAACCTGATCTACAACCTAGGTAGTATAACCTCGCAGTAAACACCATTTATATAAGAACCAGCGGAGGCTAACTCGGAAAAACCTAGTTTCTTAGGCTGTATTCCATCACAGATAAATCGTTAGATAATCAAAAATTAAGGGAAGCGAGTTAGAACAGGTTGATGGTAGACAGACGAAAGGGCGCGGGGAAAGTTCACGTTTAAGATTACAAAATCATCAAAGTTACAAATCGTTCAGCAAGTAACTACCAGACTTTGTGCAAGCTCCAATGAGACTTATGATATTAGGATGTTCACCAACTGTAAGCAGGATTTGAAGCTCGTTGAATAAATCCTCCGCGTCTTTCTCTCTAGCATCTTCTATAAAATGTAAATGAAAATGCTATTTTAAAAAAAAACACGTCTTCAAACACTTCAAATAACTAATCTGTCAACGTATCTGTAAGTCGGTGGGTCATTCAGTCAACAAGTAAATCAACCACAATAGGTAGTCAGAAAATCAATTATTCAATTTGTAAAACAATCATTGAGTAATTTGAATAGATCAACCAAGTTGAAATGGTAAATTGGCCACCGTTACGGTTAAAAAAGCTGACGTTTCGAGCGTTAGCCCTTCGTCGGAGCGAATAGAGGAATTGTGGGTTGTGTGCGCTTTTAAAGGCAGAAAATGGAGCTACGTGAATGGTGGGAACATGGCAACGAGAAAAACACGAATAAATTAGTAGAATGAAAAGCGTTCGTAGATACCTGTGGGATTTAGACTGCCGGTTTGAAAGATGAGCCTTTGTTCAAGAGTTTTGCGGCTTTCTGTGCTACCTAAGTGTTAGGAAAGACCGCAGATTGCCATATGTTGCTTAGAATGATTGGGTAAATTAAAACGTCTAGCGACTGGTTTCGATGTGTCCTTGTCATTCCTGTCCACGTCGCAAAGGTGTACTCGGAATCGGTCACCTAGTCTTCTGCCTGTATCGCCGATGTAAATCTTTTTGCACTAAGTGCAAGTTATGCAATAGATTACATTGGCGGAGGTGCACGTGAAGTGATCGGTGATCTTAATGGATCGTTTGGGTCCCGATATTTTCTCAGCGTTGTGAATGAAAGGACACGCTTTGCACGAGCGCATTTAGAAGTGCCTGGTTGGTCATTAGTCTGAAAAGAACTTCTGACCAAAAAATTNNNNTGAGAGTGAATGGAATGCGGTCGGAATCTTCCTTATGCGACGTTTGTAGTGCTGAATGTCGATCAATAAGTTGGGCGCGGAGGTAACCCGCTTGAACGACAGAAACAGGGTAACCACGTTTATCAAAAAACTGGCACATTGACTCTGATTTGTGGTGGAAATCAGAGTCATTACTACATAAACGACGAAGTCTTAGAAACTGAGAAAAAGGAATGGAATTCTTAACGTGAAATGGATGCGAAGACGAATATAACAAGTAATTAAGCGAGTCTGTAGGTTTGTAATACACACTAGTGCATAAACCGTTACCTTCAATTGAAACTTTGATGTCTAAAAGGATAAAGAATTGTCAGAAATGTCCCAGGTATATTTCATAGCCGAGTGAAAAGAATTGACTGCGGTTATGAATTGAGTGAGCTCCTCTCTGGTAGAGGAGGTAGCGCGGATAGAGCTCAGTAGAGTTCAGGTCTGGACCCGTTGTATAGGCTGAAAAATTGATGTTCGACAAAACCTACAAAAAGATTGGGATAGCTAGGTCCCATTTTGGTGCCCATGGCTACACCATTGGTTTTTTTTTTTAAGAAGTTGTTTCCGAATGAAAAACAATTGAGTGTGAGCACTAGTTCGGCTAAGCGTAGTAGTGTTTCAGATTTAGGTTCCTTATCAGTACGTTGATCAATAGACTGTTTAAGGGCCAGAAGGCCTTCGCCATAAGGAATGACAGTGTAAAGAGACGTAATATCCATGGTGAAAAGAAGTCTGTTTCGGCCAGGGAAACTAAAGTCTCGAAAAATTTGAAGAGCGTGTTGGCTGTCTGTAATATATGATGGCAAAGTTTTGACGATGGGAGCCATAATTTTGTCTAGATAGCTGGAGATAAGCTCGGTAGGGCAACTGCAAGCCGAGACAATGGGCCGACCCGGGTTGTTAGGTTTTTGAATTTTTGGTAAGAAGTAAATACAAGAAGTTTTAGGAGTGGTTATGATGAGATTTTTTGCTGTGGCCGGCAATTTTTGTTTAGTTATGAGTTAGTTGATCGTATTCTTGACAGTGTTTTGATTGCTGGCAGTGAGGTCTTTGTCGACCTTTTAATAAAAAGAGGTGTCAGAAAGTTGCCGCAAAGCTTCTTTTTGGTAGAGGTCGGTGCGCCAACAACGACTGAGCCGCCCTTATCGGCCTTTTTGATAACTATGTCTTCGCGTTTTCTAACGCTTTTTAGAACCGACCACTCTTCAGAAGAGAGATCGGAAAATTTGGTAATACGATTGAAATTAAGTTTGTTGATATCGTGGCGACATTTTTTGATAAAATAGTGTAATGATGCGATCTGGCCCTCCGGGTGAGTCCATTTAGACTTTCGAGTCTGAAGTGTTTCGAAAGCGTCTTTGTTCGAGGTGTTACAATCGTCCTCTTTGTCGTGAAAAAAGGCTTTTAATTGAACGCGGCGAAGGAGTACACTAACACTTTATACCTTTAATACTCTTTACTGCACATGCCCTGACTTGTCCACCCATGCGCACTAAGCCTTTGTACACTTGCCCAAATGCACCTTCCCCCAGCTTCTCTTTAAGTGTAACATCCGTTCTGGGAATTTCAACCCAATTGCAAAGAGGGTTGAGCGGTGTCTGCGGCTGCAGGATAAGGTGAAATATATGCATAGAAATTAACCATTTATTTTCTCGAACCTCACTGACTGAAAGAAAGTATAAATTATAAAATCATAAAATTCTGATTACCTCAGTATACCCTGTGCCTCGCTTGGAATTTCTAATAGGTCCATACTTGACGCAAACGACCACAACTAATAACGATGCTAAGCTTAGTGGCAACACTATTTTCAGCATCAATTTCATAAAAAAATTGTCTAGAAAAAATAAAAAATGAACAAAAAAGTTAAGAGAGAACTCTTAAAGCTGCAGAACAATTAAGCGCGGAATGAAGCTGAGTGCTGACTTTAAATCGAGATTTTGGTTTGAAAACGAAGAGCCTAACGAGGGTATGTCTTGATGTAAATGACCATTTTGCGGGTTTCACGAAACTGAGCGAGGTCAATTCCGGGCTCTGCTCTAAATCTCAACAAGGTATTAAGGATGTAAGGTGGTGCCAAAAAAGCTGTTAGTTTACAAGAGTATAAATAGTTTCAAAGAAGAGTCTACCCGGACAGTGTACTCACTCGGCAGTGTCCTCTGTGTTACCAATACACCCTCTGATCTCCCATGCATATTGTTGCTTGATAATCTGATGGTGTATTCTGTGGAGGGCTCCAAGTTCTCCATAATCATTTTGGTCTCAGGATACGGAATCGTCTTCAATACTGTAAAGTTATCCGATATTGATGTCCTCTGCTCCACGGTGTAGCTTAATATTTGCTGAAAGCTGGCATTTTCTGGCTCATCCCAGGTCAAAATAAGATACCTTGTCTGAACATTCTCTACCGTGAAGCGTTTCGGAGGTGGCGGTAATTCTAGTGTACGAAGAAGACAACAATAAACACATAGTTTTGTAAATTCTCATTACTGTTGAGATGGTGTAATCGTGGTGAGGTGATGAATACGAACAACAGTCATTATCACCCAATCCTTTTTCTGTGTCTGAATGTTAAATTTACATCCACATGTGTTTTCCCCATACAATGTTTTTTGATGAAATTATACTCGGATGTATATTTTTAATCTTTCCAATTATTTCTTTTTCTCAGTGGCTGACTTTACCTCTTGGAGGACATTAGAATACTAAGGTTTCCACATATACCAGACGTGCAGTAAGTTTTTTTATTTCCTAAGTGTTATGGTCATCAATAAAGTTGCTTCACTGTAGTGCATCATCAAAACTCACCCTGGAAATCTTCGCATATAAAGGCATGTTTCTCACTGCAGTTAGTGCACTCCAAGAGAGCATCATGGGTTACCAAACAGCAGAACTTCCTTGGCTCTTTGGACAGTGCTTCTGTACGATTTAAGTTCTTTACGATATCGACAAGTTTTATACCAGCCATCTTTTTGTCACTCCATTCCCAATCACCATTCCTGCGACCAACGTAAAAGCATACTGACAATGGAATCGAGAAGTCTATAACCATTAAAAAACTTCAAGCATACATCGCTATAAATTGATAAAGAAAGCAACTTACTTACGTTGTAGATAATTCTTACCCACCGGAGATTGAGACCCATCCAGTACTTCATGCCATTAGTGGTATTTGATATGTTTCTAGCCAACTGAAGGTCGTTAGTGGTTTTTATTTTTGCGAGATAGTCACCATAATTTTTAATTCTACATGCTTTGTCAGCCTCTGTGTAATTCATTTTTTGGTGGTAAGCTCTGAATATTTTTGCACCAGAGGATCCTGATGGTCACAAAAGTAAACAAAATCATAATTTTTTTTAACAATATTTCTCAATTATTCATCACTGTGATGATAAAGTGCTCGAACTATGTGACAATTAAAGCTTAGAGTTTTTTTAAAGACATGATTATTGAATCACGTTACATAAGGTAATGTCACGCCATGCAGCCACGTGCTGACATCAGACACCGTTAAGGTATATGAACTTTGTACGTACGACACAGAGTTTGACTAATGGTCATGGGTCGTGGGTGTGGATGTGGGTAAAAGTTGTGGGTGTGGTTAATACTCAAAAATAAAAATAACCATTTAAAATATTAAATATAATAATACATCAATTTTATACAACCCCGTCATTCATTAATTCAACTGTTCTTTCTTCTAGTTATTCAATTTTTTTTATTCCATTTACCCTACTTTACGTCTATTTTTATCTGTTATGGGGATTTTTAAAATTGAAACTATTAAACTAATTGCAAATATTGCATTTGCTTAATCTTCTGCAATGGTTCCGGCTGGAAAAGCGTCCCGGCTTTATGGTCCTTACGCCCTAGACATCCTACAGGTGTGTAAATGTGTGGAGGCGAATTTCAAACGGGGAGTAACCATGTGATGGACTAGCATCCCATCTAGGGGGAAGGGAGAGTACAAATATTTCGTCGCTTAGGCTGTATGGGCTACTGGCCTGACTCAGACTTTTTTTAATTCTAATACGTGCATCTCCATGAACAGTTCCGGTAAGTGTTTTTTTTTTCAGACCCTCTGAGACCCTCAGAGATAAATTTGGCATTAAATTATTTGATTAAGTTGTAAATTTACCATTAATTTTTAATCATCAATATTCTTATTTATTTACTTATTTATTTACTTTTAATTTTTTTTTAATTTATTATTTTTCGGTCATTCCGGGAATTCCGGGTATTCCGGATATTCCGGATATTCCGACACGGAATTCCGGCATTCCATGTTTTCCAAACTACCACTTGGCAGAGTTGCGAAATTACACGTACTCAAGAAACACGTGTCATTGTTCGTCGAGAAGTATTGTATTACTTCATGGTAGTACTTTGTCAAATAATACGTACGGTCTTTCTATCCTATGGATCATCACCTGCAAACTTTGTGCAACTTTGCCCTGCACAGCTAGATATTTGTTATTTGTTGGAGACAAGTGACTAAAGAAGTTTTCAAAAAGTTAGAAAGCTGTTTCATTACCAACAACACAACCAAAGAATATCACTAAGTATTCTTGCCAAACAGCAATGAGACTAGAGAGTGTCCGGCGTAGCGTCTCCGACTAGAGCGTAACGGGAGAGTATACTCCATAAAATGGGCTGTACCTCTTTGTATGCACCTTGATTAAGCACTTTTCTGGGGGCTCGCTTCTTTGCAATAAACGTTAACGACAATAAAAGAATGAAAGGATTTTTTTTTTTTTTAAGAAGGTGAAGTTCTTGCCGATTTTGGGAAGGCCTCTGAAACTTCAGGCAAACTTCCACTCCTATAAAAAGATATTGTCAAATTGCTATGACTGTTAAATTGCAATTTTCAACAATGTTGCATTGAGATTTATCAAGGGAACTCAACTTATCAAGCGCAATAAACACCTGCCCATTGAAAAAGGGAATTTTGCGTTGAATGTGGGGAAAAAGGAAATTTCCCGTCCGCTCATCTCTCCGAACAAGTCGCGTGTCAACATGCTTGACCCTGATGTTGTACGGAGGACTTCTGTGCCTGTCAGTAAATTCAGCCGCACAACCATAGCACTTTTTTACGTTTCCTGGCAGCATAACCAGCTCGTACCTGTGAGGGGAATTTCCTGAGTGCCAACTTTGAGCACCCGAAGCGAATGATGGCTGCGGACAGGTTTGTCCTGTGTACCGAGGGTCATGCTGTAGAACAGGACGGCCGCCTGCCATCACTGGAGCATGGTGATGAATACCTTCTTGAGGGCTAAAACCATAATATGAACGCCCCATATAACTGCTGCTGGCTTCTCCATTTGGTGACTTGTGGTCGGCAAGCATTTTCGTTGAGTTAATGTCATGGAGTTTGAATGATGTACAGCATTGGACTGGACGGTTGTGAAAGCTGGCGTTATTTGCTGGGCTGTGGCTCTATCTGGCCGCTGCGTTGGCTCCAAAGAAAAGCCCGAGTTGTTGAAGTTCTGTTGCTGCAAACAAGGGGAACTCGTACCAGGCAGTTCTTCAACGTTTCCTGACTCAACCTCTGTACGTTTGTGTTGTTTTCTTTGGCGAGTTGTCTTGTTTTCCGGTGGACGGTGCCCCGAATTAGGGTAAACTAAGAGACCATTTTTCGATGCTACTCGCATCATTTCTTCGCCAAAATAGTTTTCCCTTTCCAATTCTCGGCGGTGAAATGTTGTTTTCCACTGTTCATAAGAGGGGCCAGTTCCACCTTTTGAAGTCCCCTTCTCAATGAACTTAAGTTCAACTGCAAAAAGGACGCTGTCCCTAGTGTCCGTATGAGCTGCGTCAAAAAGGGAAAGGTTAGACGGATCTTTATGAGCCCATCCAGCGTGGATCCCTTCAGCCAGATTCATTCGAGGCGCGTTGGTCGGAACAAATGCACGGAAGATGAATGTTCTCCAATTGTCCCACCAGCTCAGCCAGGATGAAAGAAATTGCCGCTCGGATTTCTCGTTAATGAATTCTTCTAATGATTTCTTAGCGTCCAGATAAGTTTCCTTTAAATTGCATATGAGTAGACTTTGGCAGAGTTTTTTAAAAGTCTCACCTGCTTCCTGCCCTAATCTTCGAGCCATTTTGTTAATGCTCTCTTTAAAATGAAACTCGCAACTCTTTATGCGACTCAGGGCATCATCGCCAAAAACTTGCCGGAGTCCATTCATGTTAGCTCCGGCCATGTCAGTGCACCAACCTTGAGGATGAAATACCATCTTCTTGTCCCCTGTGACTTTTTGTAGACCCTCGTTGAAAAGAGACCAGAACATTGCAATGTTTTGGAAGCTCTCTTGTTCAGCTTCCATGACAGCAAGAGGTATTTGCTTCTTCAGTAGCGGACGGTATACACTGGCCGTAAGAGTAACAAAATTCCGACACCTTTTGACTTTGCTGTCAAAACAACAATACCCTTCTTTCAAGAAATGTTCCCCGTTCCTGTCCATATTCAAAGCTGCTTTCATTTTCTCCTCACTTGTTTTGAAAACAAAAGATGGTCTGTCTGGATTTCCGCGCAGATCATTAACTTTATATATCAAGAGGCTGTCCTTTTTGTCGCAATATTGTTTAAATGTCACCACCGCTTCAAAATTTTGACCACTTATATGAATTTCTTGGCGCACACTTTGTTTCTCATTTGCGATCCATTTTCTGTCCAGCAGCTGTGTCGCTTCTTTTTCCACTTTTTCCCAATTTTCCTCCGTCCACAACGATGACATAACAAAGGCAGATTGTATTTCTGCTGGCTTTAAGTGAGGATGTTTCTTAAGCATTTCCTTCACACGTTCCATTGGTTTTTCCGGCCTTGATGTTATGGGGCACGTATGGCTCCCACAATGAAACACCTGTATTTTTTTTTGCCGTAGAACACATAGCGCCTCGCACGGCAAATTACAAATTCACCTGCGTCTCCACATATTGAACAGGCTTCTTGGCCACTTGAAACATTTTTAAATTGGTTTATGTTTGTTACACCAAATTGAACACGAAAAGGACACTGAGTATTGATGCACTTGAAAGAGTCCCGACGGTCTGCATACCGCATCTCTCCATATTGTTTCCATTGCATGACGTTGCTTTTCTTCCATTTCCGACCATCTGCTAACAAAGCTGCGCTTATTTCTTTCGACGTTCTGGCTTTGACGATGGTATATTTCACCAAACCGTCTGTGCCGAATGGAAGTTTCTCCACTTCTGAAACTGGAGCACTCTCCCGCATCCCAGGATCAAACTTTCTTTGTTTGACTTGTTTGAGAACGTTCTCTCGGTTCCCCTCGATATCAGTTGTCTCTTGAGTCCGTGGAGGATTCCCAATTTACAATGGAAACAGATAGAATGAAGTTTTTCTTCATGGAAACAAGGCAAATTGAGAAAAAGCAATGACTCAACCGTAAACCCAACAAAAAAAAACAAACAAGAAAGAACGTGGAGGGCGATCTAAGATAAGTATAGTTTAAATTGCTCAGTCTTTGTAACACTCTTCTATTTACACGGAATGGGGGAGCGGGAAAGCCAGAAGACATGTTCTTTTGTCTTCATAGGGTTGTCTGGATACCATGACAATCAACCTGTTTCTAAGAATGACGTCATCGCCTTCTAATTTCTCACGCCTGTGTTGAAGCCCGGAAAAGGCGAAGATAAAAAGCTTTTCTATTAACGCCACTCTCTCTTGTTTAATTTGGGCTAATGCTCTCTTTTGATAGGGATCTGGATGTATACATCATTAAGTACGAAGTGCCTCAGATTTTTGGCGACACTCGCCGTCTTTACCGTTACGGTTACTCCGAAGTCGATGTACAAGTAACTGGTAGCGCCATTTATTTGTTACGTAGTTCACTCCAGATAAGTACCGCACAATAAATTGGTTCTAAATGACACTGCTCCTACCTTGTCTGTTTTATTTTCGCTGGCGACGGATTTTCGGTCTAATCGATTACAGGAATGTAACCAGAAGAACCCGATCCATCTTGTCCACTGTTTCCTTTATTGCCAAATCCAGGAGTTTGGACAATGGACCAGTCTTCGTCGCTGCTATCACTTATTGAGTCATTCTGAAACAAGAATAAGATAGCCGCAAGTGTTGAGTTAGCTAGAGAGGCAAGGGTACTACAGTGGAATCTCCGGTTGCGACCAGCATTCCCAAGCGAACACCTCTCTGTGATGGTATACACTGGCCGTAAGAGTAACAAAATTCCGACACCTTTTAACTTTGCCGTCAAAAAAAATACTCTTCTTTCAAGAAATGTTCCCCATTCCTGTCCATATTCAGAGCTGCTTTCATTTTCTCCTCACTTGTTTTGAAAACAAAAGATGGTCTGTCTGGATTTCCGCGCTGATCATTAACTTTATATATCAAGAGGCTGTCCTTTTTGTCGCAATACCACTTGGATGAATCTCTTGGCGCACACTTTGTTTCTGATTTGCGATCCATTTTCTGTCCAGCAACTGTGTCGCTTCTTTTTCCACTTTTTCTCAATTTTCCTCCTTCCGCAACGATGACATAACAAAGGCAGATTGTGTTTCTGCTGGCTTTAAGCGAGGATGTTTCTTTAGCATTTCCTTCACACGTTCCATTGGTTTTTCCGCCCTTGATGTTATGGGGCACGTGTGGCTCCCACAATGAAACAGTATTTTTTTTGCCGTAAAACACATAGCGCCTCGCACTGCAAATTACAAATTCACCAGCGTCTCCACATATTGAACAGGCTTCTTGGCCGGTTGAAACATTTTTAAATTGGTCTTTGTTTGTTACACCAAATTGGACACGAAAAGGACACTGAGTATTGATGCACTTGAAAGAGCCCCGACAGTCTGCATACCGCATCTCTCCATATTGTTTCCATTGCGTGACGTTGCTTTTCTTCCATTTCCGACCATTTTCTTGCAAAACTGCGCTTATTTCTTTCAACGTTCTGGCTTTGACGATGGTATATTTCACCAAACCGTCTATGCCTTATGGAAGTTTCTCCACTTCTGAAACTGGAGCACTCTCCCACATTTCAGGATCAAACTTTCTTTGTTTGACTTGTTTGAGAACGTCGTCTGGGTTCCCGAAGTCGATGTAGAAGTAACTGGTAGCGCCATTTATTTGTTACGTAGTTCACTCCAGATAAGTACCGCACAATAAATTGGTTCTAAATGACACTGTTCCTACCTTGTCTGTTTTATTTTCGCTGGCGACGGAATTTCGGTCAAATCAATTACAGGAATGTAACCAGAAGAACCCGATCCATCCTGTCCACTGTTTCCTTTATTGCCAAATCCAGGAGTTTGGACAATGGACCAGTCTTCGTCGCTGCTATCACTTATTGAGTCACTCTTCGACAAGAATAAGATAGCCGCAAGCCTTGAGTTAGCTGGAGAGGCAGGGGTACTACAATGGTATCTCCGGTTTCGACCAGCATTCCCAAGTGAACACCTCTCTCTAGTTTCACCCTCACTGACAAAAACTGACTTTTTACAAGAATAAACTTGAAATGTAAAAAATAAAATGCACATACAGTACACTGTACTCAAGCAATGTTAAAAAAATGACCTAAAATGGCTTCAGTAATGGGCCTAATCGCACTAGAGGACTATTGGGAAATTCTTCCTTAGTTCATGCTCAGTTCCCCCTAACGTTTAGAGAACCTTTAAGGTACAATTTGGAACTATCGTGAGACTTGTTCCGTTCGCTGTATTAGGTAGTTTATGAGAAGCGAACTACGAAACTCTGAATAAATATTTTTGAAAGCTTAGCTATTTTTGTGGCTACTAAAAGTTATTATATGAGATTTAGATTGGCATTTCCGCATGGGGTATGTCTCTGTAGTTACTATATGCTAACGAGGCAAAATATTGACCCATCGTGGTATAAACTCTGGTAAGCGACCACCTCCCGTAAGCAACGGAGGAAAAAAACCAAAAACGGGAGGAAAAACAACAAAAAAACGCAACTTTTTTGGCAGAAAAAGCGAAAAACCGATCCAAAACACAGCCAAAACCGCAGAACAGAAAATCCCAAAGCCCCCCTCCTTACGGGAGGTTTGACTGTATTTCCCAGAAATATGTTTATTTTGTAGCTGTCCGGCTGACCGACGAGCCTACCGAGTGGTAATTCTTGAATGAACCAGCCTCTTGACCGTGAAAATACATAACCATGACTATACCTTGGTTAATTGGATGGCCTTTTTCAGGGCATCTTCTTCGCTTTCCTGCTGTTAAGCTATCATCCAGGTTTGGCTGTCATTTGGAGTATTCTCAGCTTCCGATACAACTTCTGCGTAAGTTCTTTTGGCTGACATAAGGACTAAATAACACTAAAACAGGAAAACTTAAACCCGGGGCACACAAAGTACTACCGTGAAGTAATGCAATACATCTAGATGAACAATGAAACGTACAAGTGATATCGTACAAAGCAATATTCTCTCAGGTGTCCCGTTCACACAGACCTCGAAAACGCAGACCGCAGACCGCAGACCGCAGACCGCACACCTCAAGTACCCACGCCTCGAAAAACGTGTACACTGTGTATTTACCAGATTTACCTCTTTTACCTTTGTTATCAAACGAGATCACGGAATGCGTGGGCGAAACTGCTATGTAAACACTGGAGTTGAATTCTTATTGAAAATATCGCGTTTACGATCCTCCACTTTCGAGCCTTACCAGTCTTGCAGAGGTTATGTGTGTGCCTTTTGAGTCAGTCGACCTGTGCACAATCAGTTTTCCTTTGAGTATACAGTATGTAATTACCAGATTTATCTATCTTTCTTTTATCATTGATGTTATCAGACGAGATCTCGGAATTTCTGTTCCTTGGCCCCTGACTTTAGCCGCAAATATAGAATTCACGAGCGCTATCGCAATTTTAACGTTATAGTACTTCTACTATATCAAATCATTTTTGGTATAATCGTACAAAGCAACTCAGGTACAAAGCATCTCGTTAACACAGACCTCGAAAACGCAGACCGCAGACCGCACAGCTCGAAAAACGTGTACACAGTATAAAATTTATCTCTCTTCCCTTTGTTATCAAACGAGATCTCGGAATGCGTCGCGAAACTGAAACTCCTTAAAATGGTCCACATAATGGTCCAAAAAATGGTCCAAAAAATTGTCCAAAAAATGGTCCAGTCCATATTTTACCCTATGCCAAAAAACTATCGTATTTGCACTATGGAAAAGCGAAAACAAAGATTGTATCTATTTTTTTCGCTTTTTTGGTGCATATAGAAAGAGGTTTTTAAATTGCTGTATGATATAATAGCGGAAATGTGTAAAACTAATTTCATTGACAGTGAGATAACAGATAAAAATAGACGAAAAGTAGGGTAAATGGAATAAACAAAATAAAATAGCTTGAATAAAGAACAGTTAAATTAATGAATGTCGGGGTTGTATAAAATTTATGTATTGTTATATTTAATATTTTAAATGGTTATTTTTATTATTAAGTATTAACCACACCCACGACTTTTACCCACACCCACACCCACACCCACGACACACGACTTGTACGCACGACCCACGACCATTAGTCAAACTCTACGAGACCTCGGGTCTTTTTGTCTTCTAAGCATGTGCTGCTAGCTGTAGTTTCGATTGCCGAATAAAAGCTGTTATAAAGCCTCAACGTCATCTTCTTACAAACTGGATAAAAATTATTAAACTAGTTTTTCTTCTCGTTATGATGATTAGAAATAAGCTCACCCAGTACTTCTTCAAACCCAAACCAGACGAAAAAACACTAAAGAACTCTACCAGGGGTTTTTCTTTATCCAAAGGATTGCTGCTCGTGTTACAGATTCCGTAACTAATTTATGGAACATGACCAGATCTGAGCAATTAGCCACGATGAAAGCCTTTCTTTTATTAACGTCCTTATGCTATCACTGTATGTGTCATTTGTAGGTATGGCATGTGAATGAAAAATAAAGACCACTCTTTCTACCAACCACTATGAGCCACCAGACTGTTCAAGACGGTAAGAACAACCATTGCACGAACTTGAGCCATTTCTATGCTGTTAAGCCGGTTACCAGTTGCAGCACTTCAATCTACAATAAAGAAGTAACGACAAAGAAGGACAGTCGATAACTTTGACACAACGAGGTGGGGTCTCGAAAACACAGACCACAGACCGCAGACCTCGAAAACGCAGACCTCGGAAACACAGACCTCGAAAACGCACACCTCGAAAACACAGACCTCGAAAACGCACACCTCGATCACGCAGACCTTGAAAAGGCACACCTTGAAAAATATTTTTCCACATTTCGAAGAGAACCGCGATTTTGAAGCAGTTGTTTTTTTTTTCGATGAGAGAGATTTAGCCAAAACAAGCATTATGTGCGACCGGAAGTCGACAAAGATTAATTAAAATATTTGCTTCGTGTTAAAGCCAGTGGTCTACAAATAAATTTTGGTAAAAGTCGCTCCAGTTACTTCAATAAAGCTTACTTCGATAATTTACGCGGACACGTCCAACTTCGATGGGGGTACAAACTCATTTATGGCTCCTTAATAGACAATCGCTGGTTTGAGGTCGCGGTTTACACATATTCCTTGAAGGCAAAAATTTAAGTCCCTCGTCAGTTCGGCGATAGCAATCGCTGCTTTGGGAAAAACCACTACAGTGTAAAATGTTGAAAGGCTTCGCCTGCTTGTGTACTATAGAGGCAATTAAAAAATACGAGGATATCTGAAACCTAAACATCAATACCGAATGGCTGGCAGGAAATGAAAACACTGACTTGTACGCCACCATTACGCATTACAGCGATCGGTTTAGGACAAACAGCGACCTTTTGATGCCGCAGATTTTGTAACATCTTCGTCTCCTTTCTTAAGATTTGAGTCTCCCGGCGCCGCCGAAGAAAACAAAATCGCTTCACAACCATGGTTCTCTTTGAAATGTCGTAAGCAAATTTTCGGGGTCTGCGTTTTCGAGAAACCCCCTGGGTTTTCTCGAAAACACAGACCCAGAAACGCAGACCTCAACAAACAGCAAACTTTACTAGATGCCGCGTATTTTGTAATATCTTGGTGTCATAAGTAACGCTTCACAACCACGGTTCTCTCATAAATGTCTAAAAAACAGGGTTTTTAATTTGGGTCTGCGTTTTCGAGAAACCCCCAAGGTTTTCTCGAAAGCCTTTCAACATTTTACACTGTGGTGGTTTTTCCCAAGGCAGCGATTGCTATCGCCGAACTGACGAACTGACGAGGGACTTGAATTTTTGCCTTCAAGGAATATGTGTAAACCGCGACCTGAAACCAGAGATTGTCTATTAAAGAGCCATAAATGAGTTTGTACCGCCCTCAAAGTTGGACGTGTCCGCGTAAATTATCGAAGTAAGCTTTAATGAAGTAACTGAAAGCGACTTTTCCCAAAATTTATTTGTTTATAGACCACTGGCCTTAACATGAAGCAAATATTTTAATTAATCTTTGTCGACTTCCGGTCGCACGTAATGCTTGTTTTGACAACTGCTTCAAAACCGCGGCTCTCTTCGAAATGTCGAAAAATGATTTTTCAAGGTCTGCGTTTTCGAGGTCTGTGTTTTCGAGGTCTGTGTTTTCGAGATACCCACAATGAGGTCACGAAATGATGATCACATTAAAATCTCGAAAGAACTGAAAGAGAGCGACTAAGTCTTTTAGGTCAACAAAAAGTTCTGTTTATGATCGATCAGCTGAAGGCTCGGCAACGAGATATGTAAGAGAGTTGGTGTAGAACGATCATTTGATATTGTATTTGATTAACTTGTTAAATAAGATTTATATATACGATATCTGTTTTAGACCAATGGCTATTTGACAGGCGTAAAATACAGAGCAAAGTGTGCAAGAACACATTGTTTATAATTAACTATTCTACTCAATTAAAATAGTGAAGCTGTAATATTCTTTCGTGGATATCCTAACCAGTAGCTGTTACATAGAATAGCTGATTAATTATAAGTAGCTCCGAATAGCTTTTACACGGACGTCACAGTAAACAATTGACACAGCACGTATGATGATGCCACTTCGCTTGAAAGCAACCTGAACATTACCTAACAGCGTTTTCTTGTTGGGACTCGTTTTCTTGCGGTATAAGATCAGCTCATCTGCTAACAAACTCTCTCATAGACACTACGTTCCTCTGTCAATAGCTAAAAACAGGACAAACAATCAAATGCCGAGGCACTTAGGTTATGTTTCATTCTCAGCCCGTCGTGACGAGACGTTTCAATTGTGACTTCAGTTATACGAATGCGAATATTTATTGTCAAAATGCGTTAAGTTCCTCAGATATTTTAGAGTTCCTTTCCCTCTCAAACGAAAGAGCTTTAGAAGCAAGTAAATTTATCAAAGACATACAGGAAAGCGATAATTTCGCGTGCGTGCTTGTACGAAAACCAGTTATTAACTCAGGTAGTACCTTTTGGGTGAATGCTATCTTTCCTCACAAGGCTCTGACTTCTTTGGCTGTGCTTACCGAAAGTTTGTTTTGATCTTCTGCACCTCGCGTGAATTAAGGAATAGCTCAAAAACGAGATCGTGAGCCCGAGCGAGGCCTCATAGTTAAGTATTTGTAATTGCTAACTTTATTAATAAAGAGCTCTCAAGTTTCAGCGTCGTAGGTTTAAACAATCATGGCGTTGCTTTTCGAAGGTATACTAAATCAAGGAATGTTTCGATATGAAGAAAGTTTCCCGACGTAAACAGATTATTTGTCATTACTTAGTATATTGGAGGATTTTCATGTCGAAAACTTTAGAAGGGATCTTCACCAGACAGAGGTACGTAACAAATACTTCCTGCCTTTATACATACATGCATGTAAAATCGTGATATAATTCGGAAACTGCACTAGCTTATTAACACTGCCTTTAAACAACTGTAAAATAACTATTTCCCTCCCGGGCCAAAAGGCTTAGCTGAACAGTTTTGACGATCAATCGACTGAGTAGTATTCGCATGGGAGTAATATGCTGCACAAGTTTATGTTGTGTTATTAACTAACATAATTTTACGAATTCCAATACATACTACGCATGTTTATATATAGTCCTCTACAGTCTTTGAACGTGCGTTGACAACGAATCTTTGAATCGAATGTTCTTTTGTATACGTGGAAAAGGTGGGATATTTTCTTCGCAAATATTTTTGCGAAATCTTCTTACACTGAGTAACTGAAAATATAATATCATTTTCAACTGAATGATCAAAATATGCACACATTTTCTCTCGCGAAGAAAACGCCAGCTAGTAACATAAAAAATATAGTGGCAATAACTACACAATTAAATGTTTCTTTCTTGCGTCCAAAACAATGAAATCTTTTTGAACTAGAAAGTAGAATTCTTTGAACAATAATTCACTCGATCAAAATTATTTTAGTTAATGTTCAACTTATCATGGATGAATATACACTGTTATTTTCCAGTATTTGAGCAGTTCCTTGCTCAATTTCTTTTTCTTGTATGCAGCTTTTATTTTTTCCTCTTGTTCGTAGTTTTCATATGTTGGTGCAAACCCATGCTGTAGGAGAAATTCCTTTTCCCATTGCTCTATTTCTTGTGATACACTCTTGTGAGCAGCAAGCACTTGTGTCTGAACAC